CAGCCTGGCCAGTCTGACCAACAGGGGAGCTTCCTGAATATGAAGACATAGGCCCTATGCTTTTCCTACTCCTCCAGAACCTCTCCCTGCCGCTAGTGCTGTTCCTGGCAGACAGGTATCCTGTCCCTATTCTAGCCACCCACAAAATGTGCTCCAAATCCTGGGGATAGGGACTTAAAAAGACTCTGCGTGACCCAAGATGGCCACCAGGGTCACCTAGATCCAGTGTAACCAACTGGACAGAGGAAACTATGGAGAAACTCAGTTTCTCTTGACTTTCCTACTCCAACTGCATTGCTGCTACAGACAAGCACCACCTGCAGTGGAGACTGTAGACTGCCCCTGCCTGCATACAGAGTGCCTGTGGTTAGTAGAGGAATATTAACCCATCATTAGTATTAGTTGGAGGAATAGTGCCCTACCATTTGTGTCAATTGAACGAATAGTGCCCAATTGTTTATATCAGTAGGAGGATATATGCACCATTGTTGGTGTCATTGGAAGGAATAATGCCCCATCATTGGCATCAGTGGAAGGAAAAACACTCTATTGTTGGTGTCAATAGGAGGAATAATTGCCCACTAGTGGTGTCAGTGGAAGGAATGTTGTTTCATTATTGGTGTCAGTGGGATGAATAGTGCCTCATAACAGTGGGAGAAACAGTGCCCCAAAGGCCGGATAACAGCAATGGGTTGCATCCAGCCCATGGACTGCACTTTGGAGACCAATGCTCTTAAGTATGAACACATCACATAGAAGATAGAAATTGATTTATTGCACATAATTGTATATCTGATTTGCAGAGAACCTGCTATCCACTTATGCTAGGATATTATCCCTGTACGTGTTGTCCCTGCCTGTGACAAGCTAGGACAGGCAATGGTCCATACATAGCTTGCTTGACATGCTGTGATTTTGCCACTTCTGGGAAGGCTACAGGGAGCCTATAGTTGGACTACATAGCCAAGCCATCTGCCATATTGTGGCTCCAGAACTTACATCTTCAGCAGGGTAATCCTTGGAATCCTAAGAGTGCTGTGATTAGGTGATTTCTCTTCACCTGTTTAGTTATGAAGATGAATCAATAAACATTTAATTATGTTGTTATAACCTCTGGCCTCATCCATCAGGGAGCTGTCAAATATTATTGTGTCTGTGCGGAACCTGGGGAGGGCAAAATGGCAGTCGGATCAGCCTAGAATTACAGCTATAGACAGGCTGCCATGTCATTCAATACGCCATTAATATTCATGACAACTCTCCGAAAGCTTAGATCCAAGGCTGTCCCCCATAGGAGCAATAGCAAAGGAAGGAAAGGCTCCTTGTAACTGGCCAACCCCCTGTCCTGGACCTTGCAGCAAAGATAACCACAAGTTTATTACACTCCAGATATAGATGCGTAAATTTGAGTTACCTGGTGTAGAATCAATGTTTAAGGTGGACCCGTCGTTGAAAAATAGTTTGGATAACATAAGCAGACTTATGGCAGCACCACAATTTTTCCTTCGCCTCCTAACCTCCTAGGAACCCCTGAATCTTGGTACATACAATCAGGGCTGGGAAAAGGGGTGGGCAGGAGGGCTGCCCTGGGCACAGTGGTATCATGTGAGGTGGGGGGGGGGTGCACCACAAGGAGATTGGGGGGAGGGAATTTGTGTTGGGAGGGGTAGGCAGCTGGTTAGAATTGTTCTAGGAAGGGACATTTAGGGAGGCGTGCTAGGAGTGTTGATTTAGGGGGATTTGTGTTGGGAGGGGGGGGGGAAGAGGAATTGTGCTAGGAGGGAGGATTTGGGGAAGGGGGTGCTGGGAAAAGGTGATATGGTAGAGTGGGGAAGGGATTTGTGCTCTGAGAGAGGATTGGTTTTTTTGGGGGGGGGGGGGTGTACTAACAGGGATGATTGGAGGATTGGGGGGGGGGGCTAATTTGTGTTAGGATGGGGGATTGGGGAAAGGGAGTTTGTGCTGGAGGGATTTGGAATGGGGGGAGAGGATTTGTGCAAGGAGGGGGGATTTTTTTTGGAGGGGGATTTGTGCTGAGGCATATGGGGAGAGAGAGATGATTTGATCTGGGGGGGATGGAGGGCAGATTTGTATTGGGAGGAGGGGGAATTTATAATTAGGGGGTAAACATGCAGATTAGGAATGTATAATTAGGGGGTAAACATGCAGATTAATGCTTGGTTTTTTTAGGGGGGGGATTTTTTGCTGACACGTAATGCTCATCATACATCTTGGGGGGGGGGCACAATTTGGCACGTTCACGTTCACCCTGGGTTTTAGATGACCTTGTCCCGGCACTGCATACAGTAAGCTAATACTATCTTTATCGTAGAGTCAGAGATCTAGCCTGCCTTTACCTTACATCCCAGAATACAATTTGCACATTGTTACTCATCTGTAGGGAGGCATTCCCAATGGAATTAGTATGTCGGTACAATGATAAAATGGCAACAGAATAGCAACTGCATGTCAGCCTTACAGTGATGTACTAACATTCCAGTGACACTGTGGCAGTATTGTGACATCTTGGAAACATGATTGGTAGAAGGATAGCTGGGCACCATTGTGGCAGCCTTTCCATTTCATGGTGTTATTTGATCTGCAATACCTTTAATAACAAACCTTTATATCAAGGTTTGGCAGTCGAGATTAAGACCTTGGGAGAGATGGGTTCTAGTTTTTTACCCAGAAATTAAAAAAAAACTCCCGTTACAGATTATCACTTTAGGTTGTACTATTAACCCTATAACCCAATAGAACCTTAATGTGATCTTAATGGCTGAAGTTTTTGTTACCTTAAAATGATTGTAAACCTCAGACATGAAATATGAACAAAGCCTATCCTTCTATAGTGTGTATTGGCTCAATTAAGAGAACTATATGTAATTCCTGTCTGTTGCCTCCTTCCCCTGCTATCAACATGAGTCCCTTCTGACAGGTTTTCCTGACACCAAGAGAAAAATGGTGACAGGGGAGGGACCTCCAGCAGATTGACAGGCTGAGCTCTGTTCCTGTGAGCTGTGTGGAGGAAGGTGTGTCTTTCCCCTCCAATCAGTTCTCAGAGCTCTCCTCACTGAGATCTGCACAGTGTAAATTCAGCTCTCCACCTTCTTTTTTTCTGAATTCTGAGACAAGCTTTTAAATTAAGCACTTTGAAAGGCTGTAGAGAAGAGAATACCGCAAATAAACAGGTACAACTTATGTAGGAGGATTTGTGTAATCTCTGTGTATCACCTGTGGCCAGTCACTTCACTGGGTATATGTAAGGGTTTACAACCACTTGAATGCATTTTCTGCATTAGGTTAAAAAAAAACCTTCTGAATGCAACTCCCCCCACTGCCCCCCTCCCTATACTTACCTGAGAACGATCTCAATCCAGCAGTGTGCTCTCTCCTTCCTCACAGGCTCAGAGACAGCATTGGGAGCACTGATGTCAACTACAGCTAGTGAGGAGGCCCTCAGTCACCCGGTTGGTCTTACGTGTACACCAAGTGCGGTATTTGCCCACAGGTGTTCCATGCATCCCCATGCAGGCAGTCCCATTCTCGTCAATTGGCTCTCAAATTGACAGTCGTGTGGGTGCAGGACCTCAAACGCAGACAGTGAGCATTCCGAGACCTGTACAGATATCTAATTGGGAGAAAAGGTTGTGTCCGTGCAGCAGCTGCATCCCAATTGATGTAATGGGAGTGCCCGCATGGTGGTGCATGGAACACATGTGCATCCCTGTGTGGGCAAACATGGGTATACGCAGGTCATCAATAACCTTGATGATGAAAAAATAGCAAGAGAGAGGTCCCCCCTGTAAGGATCACCAGAGGCTGGTGTGATGCTCTAGTCCAAGATTTTCTACTAGAGTGGCTAGTAGAGAGATATGATATATATGAAACTGGCAAATGGTTTGACATGCAACCACCTATTCAGTACATTTTGGCTAGATACAGTCTTTCATCATCAGGCCCAATGGAATATATTGGATTCCCTACCACTAAACAGGATATCGAGTCTTGTTGAGGATATACGACTGGGCAATGTCACAATATTGTGGTCTATAAGTGATATTATCTGATTATTATTTCAGGTACTTATATAGCACCATCAATTTACGCAGTGATTTACATATATATATATATATATTGTACATTCATATCAGTCCCTAACCCTCTAGGACAGTGGTTCTCAAACTTCCTAATGCCATGACCCTTTAATACAGTTGCTCATGTTGTGGTGACCCCCAAACCATAAAATTATTTACCCAGTAATTATAATTCATGAGTGTCATTTTACCTCCAATACTGCTGCTTTCAACACAGTAGCTGCTTTTAACAGAGTAGCTACTTTCAACACAGCAGCTGCTTTCTACACAGTAGCTGCTATTTACACATCGGAAATATGTGTTTTCTGATGGTCTTAGGGGACCCCTGTGAAAGGGTCGCTCGACCCCCAAAGGGGTCGCAACCCACAGGTTGAGAACCACTGCTCTAGGAGCATACAATCTAAGGTCCCTAAACTCATACATTCATACATACACATACTAGGGCCAATTTAGACAGGAGCCAATTCACCTCCCAGCATGTCTTTGGAGTGTGGGAGGAAGCCTGAGTACCCAAGCAGGCACAGAGAGAACATGCAAACTCCAGGTAGGTGGTGTCATGGTTGGGATTCGAACCAACGACCCTAGTACTGCCAGGAGGAAGTGCTAACCACTTAGACACTGTGCTGCCCTGGTGTGTCTCTATCATAGCACTGCTCCCAACAGTTGTAATAATCTAATGAGGGATCCTTGTATGTATAACCAGTGAGGACCATGTGATGACCAACGCTGCAAGCCTTGTGTATTCTATATCATGCCTCTTTGCACTCTTGTATGTTATTTAATTCCTAATTACTAAAACAGAACTAAGTAACAATTTTTAGAAGGTAGTCAAATCAAGAAACCTAAAAAATGATTTAATAGCACAGAAATGTACATAGACCTTCAAAAAACGAGGGTTCTCACCTTGTATTGTGCGTTTGAAGAATGCTTTGCAGGCCTCACATGAAGCCACTCCATAATGATATCCTGAGGCCGTGTCTCCACACACTAGGCATAGTCGCTTGGGGACAGACCTGAGCACACACTGCATGCCAGAGTCCTCGCTCATGGAAGGTGGACTGTCTGCAAACAACTTTTCACTGGTATCAGGAAATCCAAGCAGTGCAGTAGGAGAGTCCAAACCCTGAGATTGTCCTCCTACAGAGAGCCCATAGCTGCTGCTGGTGTCTGACATTCCATCTGGGCTAAAGTAGCCACTTGTATCCATCTGTAGAGTTGGGCTGGATGGCTCAGCTTTGACTTGAAGGTTCAGATTGTGTGATATCCCACAAAGAAACCTGGAAGACAACAAAGAAGAGCATCATGAAACACCATCACTTTATGCATTGCTGGTAAAGTTTATTCCAAGATCACCTACCATCAAAAAACTAAGATATACCATTTTATATCCGCTTAGTTTCTCCAGAAGTCTCTTATTACAATTTGAAAAACAGTTTCTGTGCTGCTCATCAATGTTGCATTTGGGTGGGGTCTACTTTTTGGTCAGATTATGTAGTCTGCAGTGACAAGGATGATTCTAAACATATGGAAACCTGTGCAGCAAACAACCCTTTAGAGTTATAGTAGGCTGAAATGTGATAGCATATGAATTCTCAAACTGAAATATAGAATGTGTGGTGTTCTTAACTAACATTTTAGGGACCCTATCATTTGTGTATATATTACTTTCATAGTCATTTTTTATATGAATCACTCTTTTACATGCTTACCCTTCCATATTTTTGTTATTTTTGGTTTTGTGTTATAGATATTGCGTATGTAATGAACAAATATAGCTGCTTCCATGTAGATATACATTAACAAACTATACACAGAAATAAGGGTTTTTGAACACTAGCACATGGATAAGATGTGTACATAACGGTGGCCTACTTTAAAGTAGTTGAAAACCCTTACAGGTGATACACAGAGATGAAACAAAACTTCCTGTATGATTTGTACCTGTTTATCTATAGCCCTCCCTCCTCTACAGCCATTCTAAGTACAAATATTACACAGTGTATCTGAGTTTCCAGAGGCAGGGAGCAGGATCTGTCACATACTGCACAGCATAGAGCAGGGAGCTAAGTGTAATTTGAGACCTGAGTGAATGAAAGGACACACCCCCCCCCCCCCCCCCATACACAGACCCATAAGGAAACATGCACAGATGAGGCTCTCAATCACCTGCTGTGTGCTGTAGAGGGGGCAGGGCTGTCTCCTGGGATTGTCTGATATCAGAATAGACAGAAGTGACTCAAGCAGATAGCAGAGGAATAAGAGAGCAGACTGAAATCACACCAGGTACTTTGCATAGAGGCAAGTACACAAAAATAAAAGGATATGGTTTGTTCATTTTTTTATTTCAGGGGTTTACAACCACTTCCTAAAGTATGTCTAACCCATGGAAAAGACATATATATATATATATATATATATATATATACACACACACACACACATTTTTTTTAGAACATTACTAGTAAGATCCCACCCAAAAATAGAGTATGCACTCTGTACCATGCCTATCCAAGACATGGATACAGTGGATGATGATATCACTTAGTATATGTAAACCCTTACCTTGTGAAACAACCCATACAGGGTAAAATAGGACTGAAAGGCAAAACATTTCTGTTTACATATAAAAAAAAACATTATAAATACCCTTTTCCCCCTTTTCTATAAGTGATCATATTATCTGTTCTTAGCTGCATACAGAGCTCAGGAGAGCAGGGGGAGGAAAAACAGCAGTACACTGTTCTTCCCAGTAAATAACTGGGGGGGGGGGGGGGCTGTCAGGTCAAGTCTGATGTCTGATCACTGGAGGAGAGCAGGCTGAGTTCTAAGCACAGCCAGTAAAAGATGACCAAGCTGAGCTCTCATGCTCAGTGTGGTCAGTTTTTTTTTATTTTATTAGGAAAGCAAAGGGACTGACAGGATCACCAGGTATTTCACACAAAGGAAGAACTACAAAGAGAACAGGATAATTTTTAATACAAGTACATGGTACAGCAGGTACATACCAGGAATATTAAATGTTGGGTTTACATATTCTTTAAGCATACTAAGTATCCAATGCCCAGAGACACAGTGATATCCTGTTATAACTGGGATTGGCTGGTTATTGCATTTCGGGGAAAATTTACATCTGATATTTACATAGATTAAATCTGTGCTCACCGACCACTTTATTGGTTATACCTTGCTGATGCCAAGAAAATATCCCCACACCATGACACCGTTGATGCAAGGCAAGATGGATCCATGCTTTCATGTTGTTTACACCAAATTCTGACCCTACCATCTGAATGTCACAGCTGAAAACGAGACTCATCAGACTAGGCAACATTTTTCCAATCTTCTATTGTCCAATTTTGGTGGCTAATTGAGTTACTGTTGCCGTTCTATTATCTCAAACCAGTCTGCCCATTCTCCTCTGACCTCTGACATCAACAAGGCATTTTTGTCCGCACAACTGCCGCTTACTGGATATTTTCTCTTTTTTGGACCGTTCTCTGTAAACCCTAGAGATGGTTGTGGGTGAAACTCCAAGTAGATCAGCAGTTTTTGAAATACTCAGAACAGTCCGTCTGGAACCAACAACCATGCAACGTTCAAATTCACTTAAAATTCCCTTTCTTCCCCATTCTGCTGCTCGGTTTGAACTTCAAAAAGTCGTTTTCACCTTGTCTAGATGTCTAAATGCATTAAGTTGCTGCCATGTGATTGGCTGATTAGCAATTTGTGTTACCAAGGAATTGAACAGGTGTACCTAATAAAGTGGCCATTGAGTGTATATTTTTTTTTAATCTAAAAATAAAATCTTTGTATATATATATATATATATATATATAGATAGATAGATATATCATGGCAAATACATAGCTTCTGCTCTTCACACTGCCATTAGTAGACAGAATTGACCTAAAGAAGACTACCTGGGACCTCGCTGCACCTCCTGATTGTCTGAGACCAGCAGGCCCACCCTGATGAGTCTCTGCATGGAAAGGGAGGGAGAGATGACACTGATAGGAGGGACAGAAGAGTCAGAGCCTATTATAAGAACTGACATGAAAGGAGAACCTGTCTCTCGCCTTCTTTACTTGACATCCTGATCAATACCGCTCGATGGCCTTTGAAAGAGATGCTTAACATGGATTCTGTCCATTTGGATGACACCCTCTAGAGAATCGGGGAGGCAGGGACAGGAACCTCCTCATCATCTCTCAGAACATCGCAGACCCCCATTTTGTTTATCTGAACAGCCAGCTCTGTTTTCTCCTTCAGTCTTGTCATTAGAGACCAAAAACTGGAATGAAATCTAAAGGGACCGTCCATCAATGCGATGCCGTATATTCACCACCCCAGTTATGGCTACGACATTCACCTCTCAGGTGCCCTCATTCCCATGTGGGATGATAAAAGAAGGCAGGGACTGATACCAATCAGATTTCACCCGCTAAAATCAACTAAACTGGTATCTGATTGGCTGATCTCCTTTATGTCATCATAGCTATCCCTTTCTTCTATAAAGAGCTTGTAGATAAGGAGGGGTGGGGGGACCCAAGCAGGGTTTTCTTTTTTACAACTAAGTTTTTATCCAGGGGTTTCATGTTAATGACATTAAACAAAATAACATTTTTGGAACTCAGACTTTTCTTAGCAGATGACAGTATACATAATACAATGAAAGTATGCAGTACGTAAATCTAACAATGGAAAGATAATTCATCAAAATTGTTAAGTGAACTTGAGTTCCTAAAACAGAGACATGGGGTGAAGTGGGGTTATACAAGATGGAATCAAAAGGTTTCTAGACTAGTTTGGGAATTCGCCAACAGATGGCAGCATAAGTCTGCATGCAGAGTCACAGGGAGCACCGACCTTCATAAGTCTGTTTTCCAAAATACATCGTCCTGTGTACATCGGGAGCTGTGCAAGTAGTGCTATTCTGACCATATGCATTACCACATCTGCTATTTCATCATGGACAGCAAGTTAGAACAAAGAGCAAATGTGAAATTCTGAGTGAAACTGGCCAAATCTGCCACAGAGACATTTGACATGATTCGGCAAGTTTACGGCGATGCTGCAGTGAGTCGTTTGAGGTGTTTTGAGAGGCACACGTGCTTCAAGAGCAGAAGAACATCACTGGAAGAGAAAGAGATCAGAAAGACCTTCAGCGAGCTCAACCCCCAAAAATGCCCTCTTTCCGAAGATGAAGATGCAGCTCAAAGGTTGCCGTTTTGACAACATTGCTGAGATCCAGCAATTTTCCCAGTTTCACGCAGAATTTCACATTCGCTCTTTGTTCTAACTTGCTGCCTATGATGAAAAAGCACCAGTTGCACAGCTTCTGATGTACACAGGATAATGTCTATTGGCACACTGACTTATGAAGGTCGGTGCTCCCTGTGACTATGTGTGCAGCCTTGTGCTGCCATCTGTTGCGTGTTACAAAAATAACACAAAACTTTTTGATACCACCTCGTATAAAAAAGGTACAAGGCTCCGTTCTCACTAGTGCGACTTTTCATGCAACTTGTGACGTGAAGTCACATGACAAGTCGAAAACCATGTATTTCAATGGCTACCTTATTAATTGCTATGATTTAAGTTGCAGCGACCCCCAAAAAGTTTCCTGCACTACTGTAATGCGATGTTCTTGCAACTCGAATGCCATAGGGTGTAATAAGAAGAAGTAAGAAATAGGTCGAGTGAGAAAGTCGCACAGGAAATCACATAAGTCGCACTAATGAGAACAGAACCTTAAGGCTGATTACTAGACAGAAAAAAAAAAAGTGCAATATATTCTGAATTCCATTTATAATAGCACTAATGATATGCACATACGGGCCAGTACTCTGCTGATATGATTAGTGGGTCCATAAATGCTCCCCATGTCAATAAATGTGGGTAACCCTTGAAGAAACACTGCCACTGCCCCCATTTATCGCAGACACAGTATATGTGAATCCATTAACACTCCTCTCTCAAGCGATTCCCTTGCTGTCCCTCCCTCACAACTGGCTCCAAAATCACCGATGTTGGCTGGTGTCAGAGCCTAGAGGGAGTGGTGATGTCACCCCTTCAGTCATGTGTCACTGCTTGGGCATAGAGATTGGCAGCTCGGCCTATTGACTGTCACTTTGGAGGAGGTTGCTTGATCCCTCATACCGTAAAGCACGGGTGTCAAACTGGCAGACCTCCAGCTGTTGCCAAACT